CTGAGCCAGTTGCCTTGAAACGGTTCTGGATGTTGGATCATCTGGGCCATGGTGTCATCGGAGACCTTTCAGGTGGTCTTGGCTGGTCAAACCTGATGTGTCTTAATCTGGAACAAATCCATAGCCTCTGGCTTTCTGTGGAAACAAAAGCAGAGTCTCCTTTCCAAAGTAACATATCCTTATATCCAAATTTTGAAGTCAAGGTACCTTTAAAATATACATTTTGGCATAACTCAACAGCTTTTACAATCAAATGTTTTTCTTCAGTTACGAATATCAAAGAGAACATAATCCAGATTCTCTGTGTGGTAGCCATCTTTACGTGGCTTATTTTTTTTATATTAGCTTGAGCCTATTGCTTTAAACTGCAGCCTTCTAAGCCTGAAACGGCGCTGGCGCTGTGGCTGCTGGCTCCACCCACTTCAGCTTCCCAACATGGCGGTGATACGTTTTCCGCCAGCTCTGGGAGCCATCAACTCTCAGAAATAGTGGGTCTATGCTTCTATCAAAGCAGCGTGTAGCCCAGAAACCTCTTTTTTTTTTTGTTTTGTACTAGCAAAGGCTAAATCCACCACACAGCTTAATGTGCCACTTGCAGAGGCCTCATTCCTGCCATACTGCAGGTCGAGCATGCACACCAGGAACCCGCCATAGTATCTCAAACACACAGGTTGCCGCTAGCTTAAAAGAGACAACTAGGAGCTGTTTTTAGCTCCATTTTAGAATCTTTTTACTCAGGTTTTAGGTGGAAACTCTTGCCCCACATTGGGCGCCATTTGTAGCTTGAGTTTTCCTGCCTGGCCCACAGTCAGGGCAAATCTCTCTCACCCGCCAGTCCCAAGCCGCTCAAACCCGACCAAGTAAACACAGAGACTTATATTGGTTACAAACTGTATGGCCGCGGCAGGCTTCTTGCTAACTGTTCTTACAGCTTAAATTAATCCATTTCCATTAATCTATACCTTGCCATATGGCTCGTGGCTTACCGGCAACTTCACATGCGGCTTGTCATCATGGCGGCTGGCAGTGTCTCTCCCCCTCAGCCTTCCACTTCCCAGCTCTATTCTCCTCCTTGTCCCGCCTATACTTCCTGCCTGGCCACGGACCAATCAGTGATTTATTTACTGACCAATCAGCAACACATTTGACATACAGACCATCCCACAGCACATTCTACTCCAAAATTCCAAGTCACAGGATTGCATTTTACTATCTATGCATATGGTGGTATACTTGACCACATGCCCCCCTCCTCTCTCTCTAGATATACTCTTCTCCCTTCTATGCTTTGCCCTAGGAAACTGGTCCCTAAGAACCTCAGCAGTCTGTTCTCTTGTTCCAAACAATGGAATGGGAGGAGAGATGGTAGCAGGAGACTAGAGTGATGCATTTCCTACTTAATAGTTGCATTAGTACAGTATTTATTAGGCATATGGGAAACTCAGAGGCAGTGCATAGATTTGAGGAAGCAGGTCACTCAGGGTGTGCTCTGCAAGGGCATATTGTCCCTAAGCACTCCTCTTCTCTCTGCTTGCTGGATGCTGTGAGGTGAGCAGGTTTTCTACTTCACATACACCTCCATGATGTTCTGCCTTTCCTCAGGCTCAAAGCAATGGGGCCAGCTGACCGTGGAGGAAAACCTCTGACAATGAGCCATCTTAAGACTCTCCTCCTTTTCAATTGATTCTCTCAGGTCCTCTGCCATTACAACAGAAAGTGATTGACAAAATCACTAAACAATATGGCAGCATCAAAATAAATGGTATTCTTAGACAAGCAGTCTATTTGGAAAGGTCTACGCTAACTGAGGGTGTACAACAGTAGACCCAAGATGGAAATGAAATTGGCCATGATGTTTGGAAGTAGACATACACATCACATTGCTAACAATAACCCCTGTGAGCCAGTGACCTTGTTGAAAGACTAGGACAATGGACAGGTTAGCAAGGCAGATCCAGTCACTAGTTGTTGGTGAGAACAAAGCAACCCACAGACTCTAGAGATCAGAGCTTGTAGAGGTTGATATCAAGTAATATGCTGGTTTGCATTTCTTAAATCATTTCCCACCCCCTACAAACTTCCTCCTCCCCATCCCTTTACTATCTAGTTCCAAGTTCAAGAATGACTTCAACAGAATTAATCCCCAAGTCTGAACATCCAAAAATGTAGCAGTCAAGTAGTAACAACAGAGGGGAGAAGATAATGAGGCTGGAAATATTAATTTAGTCTTCAATTATCTAAGTAATTACGTGTGGTAGCCAGACATTGTGATGTAAATCTCATTCATTACCTGCTTTGTCTTTTCCAAGTTAAAAATAAAAGGTGAAGATTTACATTTTAAATCAGAAGATAAGATTTTAAATGACACTTCTATTTAATGGATGAATATTATAGTATTCAAAATCTTCATCCTCTCTAGTAGATTAGTTGTATAGGCATGTTTATATACCATCTTTTAAAAGAAAGATCTGTTACTTAATATGATGGTTGATTTTAAATGTCAACTTGACATAATCTAGCATCACCTAGGAAAAAAGTTTCAGCAAATAATTGTCCAGATCAGGTTAGCCTGTGGACATGTCTGTGGAGGTTGTTTGATTATGTGAATTTGTGTGGAAAGACCCATTGAGCAGCTCTGTTGCCTAGGCAGGGGAGCCTGGACTGTGTAAGTGTTGAAAACAAGCTGAATACTGAGAGGCATGCATGCACTCATCCTCTCTCTACTCTTGAGTGTGGATATAACTACCTGCTTTGAGTTCCTGCCTTGACCTCCCTCCTGGGATGGACCAGGACCTAGAATTGTGAACTAAAATAAACGTTTTCCTATAACTTGCTTTTTGTCAGGGTAATTTATCACAACAGAGAGGAACTAGGATATCTGTTATCAGTGAGATCTGAGATTGCATTCCTCTTCAATCAAGAGCTGAAATACTACCAGTAGCTAAGATACAGTTATTTCTTTAAAACAGATGAACTTTGAAGTCAAACTTCTGTCCTGTTATATTAAGCTTTATTCAAGTTGGTAAAATTTCAATATTTTCAAGGTATTAACAATCTGTGAAAATTATAGTAATTTAGAAAAATTTCAACAGTCTATAATTTGTTCAAGAAATACAGAATTTTGTGTACAAAGTATAATTTTTGCTTTCAAATATGTGGTTTGTATTATATGTTTAATAGAAATGAACTGGAATAAACTCACCATCTCCTTGTTTGATAACAAATGAGCATTTCCCAAATAATAAACAGAACTTTAGGTTGTCCATCTTGAGGGATTATGTAACTTTTGTTGTTTGTCTTGTTTTTTTTTTTAAGACAGGGTTTCTCTGTGTAGCTCTGGATGCCCTGGAACTGCCCCTGTAGATGGGTTGGCCTCGAACTCACAAAGGTCCATCTGCCTCTGCCTCCCAAGTGCTGGCATTAAAGACATGCACTACCACCCAGTTTATGTAAATTTTAATAAAAGATTTATTTCATTTTTAATTATGTGTATATCTGCAAGTGTGAGTGTGTGTGTGTGTGAGAGTGTGTGTGTGTGTGTGTGTGTGTGTAGCCATGGAGGCCAGAAAAGGGTTTCATTTCCCCTGCAGCTAGAGTTACAAGCAGTTGTGAGCTCCCTGACGCAGGTGCTAGGAACTGAACTCAGGTCCTCTGCATGGCAACAAGTGCTTTTAACTGCCATCACTGCAGCCACAGACTGTGTAACTTTTACAGGCTCTGTATTTTCCACAGATCTCAAGTAGTAACTGTCTAGAAGAACTAGCAGATCAACTTCTCCATTCTTAGTCTGTCTTAATTCTGAGTTAATCTTACATCTTACATCTTGCAAATCAAAACTGAACTATAGTGAAACCCATATGGTGTTTTTAAACTGATATCTTTATTCATGGCAATGTGTAAGTTCATTAAGACAGCACCTTTTAAGCAGTCTAGAATCTTTTATCAATTGTTATGATGTTCAAAGCTCTAAATAGCTGTCAGCCCCGGGTGATAAGCAATACTGAACATACATCCCAAAATAAAACGAAGTAGCTCAGCAAAGCCAAATTTCGGCATTGTTCTTTAATCTCTACTGGTTAGTATGGTGTCACCATGGAGTAACCTGTTGTCAGGAACCTGAGAGTTTAATTCTGGGGTTTGAGATTCAGCATCACCTAAGCACGAAGCTTGTTTCAGCCTTTCAATTGGCTTGCGTGGATTGCTGTGCTGGTGATATAACGGGTTACACTTCACAAGCATGAGAGGGAGAAAATGACCAAAGTGCTAATTAAGTCTGAAGTGCATAAATTCCCAGAATGATAAATACAGAGGGGAATGTGGTAATTCCAAATGTCAACCTCATTTGCACTGAACTTCTAAAATTTTTAATAATGCCTTAATTTTTCACCTTTGTAGAAAACGGAAGGTCCATTTTACCAAAGGTCATGCAAGAGCCCACTTGCAGACTGGAACATCGCATTCCTGTACTTCAGAGTACAGTGTGAGCAGCCTGGTTAGCAGGCCACATTTCCATGCCTGTTAACCCTGCGTGGTGCTGGGAAAGTCACTAATCACCTCTCAGCTGCGTACAGTTAATTCTATGTCTGTACTTGTCCTCCTCTGTGTTTTTATGCTGTTTCTCTTTCTATTTGATTTTTGAGGTCACTTTTGGTATAAGGTGAAATACCTTAGCTTGGTAATAAAATATGACTAGGCGATAGTAGAGCTATAATAGCTAAATTCGGGGTCACCTTTCTCCACCACTTTTAAAATTAACTGTCAGAAACTATCACAAGAGAAGTAACTTGCAAGTTTCTTCATCTTTTGGATAAAAGAAGATATTAAGTGGGTTTATTGTATCAAATCTTAAAGAGGAGAAAGCATCTACCACTTTGTATTTTCAACAGAGCTCCTTCGTCTTACTTATTATCTATCACCTTAGAGGAGGTTTGGACTCCATTGGAATTTCTTTCCATTTATCTTGCAATGAAACAGGAACAAACCTTTTTAATACTTTTCAGAATAGCTATTCTTCCAGACGGAAGCCTGCGGATCGTAAATGCTTCTAAAGCAGATGAGGGCAAGTACATTTGCCAAGGGGAGAACATCTTCGGTTCCGCAGAGATTATAGCTTCCTTGTCTGTCAAAGGTAAGATAACAGGTAACATGCCAGATGTTTCACAGCCATGGCTTCCAAGCCTCAACATCAGGGGCGGGGGGGGGGGGGGGGGGGGGGGGGGGTGGAATAAATGCAAGATACACATACATGTGTTTGCATTGATTAAGGTGAATGTCTTAGTTTAAAGTTTGTTAAAAATACAGAACTAACACAACCAAATTATCATTTCCATCATTTAAAGAATTAAAACAAAACACAGAATGGTGACTCCCACCTGTCACCCCAGCATTTGGGCTGAAATTGTTTAGTTATACAAATCTGGCTGGATGGCAAGCAGGGAGATGGTTCAGCAGTTAAGAACATTTACTGTTCTTCCAGAGGACCCATGTTCTATTCCCAGCACCAAGTCAGGACACACACACACACACACACACACACACACACACACACACACACACTAAAGTGAGAAAACCTGTCTCGAAAATATAAATGAATTAACAAGCAAATAACAAAAGGAAAGGAGTCCACTATTCATAGACATTTCAGTATCTTCCTTTGAACAAAATTAATAAAAGAATAAAATTTTTTTTTAATTTTTATTCACTGTGACAAAATTTAAAGAATGCTAAAATTATAAAAATGTGTTTCAGCATCTGGGCTGGGGTAACCCGATGGCAAAGCAAGCGCTTCACATACCTGGAGACTTGAGTTCAATCTTCACCATTCCAATATTCAAACATTCCCTCCCTCTATCAGGAATAATTCTAGCATCAACTAAGAATTTCCATTTGCTGTTACTTTAACAAGGTAATGGGGAGAGCAGGGTAGCTGCAAGAGGATCCATCCCACAGAGTGAGGGCAGGTACCTCAGTTACCACAACTTCTCAGAGATGTCCGTGACTACAAGGTTTTTATATGCCTTCATTTTTGTGTGAGGTAGATCTTACTGTCTATAGGTTTACTAATTTCCTAGGTCTAAATGAACTAGATTTCAAGTCCACAACATTGTATTAAATAGTTGAGCTATTTTTAAAAATGGAATTGGGCCTGGAAAGACAGCAGTTAGGAGCATCTGTTGTCTTGCAAAGTTCCCAGAAGCCATGTCCTGTGGCTGCTAATGCCATCTCTGGGAACTCTGACACCCTCTTTTAGCCTCCATGGGCAGTTTAACTAACATGCACACACAGAAGAAAACGTCAAAATGAAATCTTTAAAACAGTTTTTTAAACTAATATTTTAGGTAGCAAAATCCCATCAATTAACAAAATGGTATTTTTAACAACTGAATTATAAAGTAGTTGCTTCTTCATTATACATCTATTACACAGAAAATCATCCTTTGCCTATAAAAGTAGAAAAAAAGTTTATGTTTAGAAAATGAAGAAAAGTCTTGGAGGTGGCTGGTGTGACTCCCAACTAGTATTATATTTAATGCTAACAGACTAGAGATATGGTTTGATTTACCTTGCGCTACCTTTAGAAATAAAACCATAATTTAGTCAAGACTCCAATAAGAGAAAAGGCAAACATAAGGGAAGAACAGAATATAGTTTTTCAAATATTTCCATGTATATCAAACATTACTGGCATCCAACCCAGGGACCCAGTCTTGGGTCATCTTCCGATAAGGTAGTGATTGAGCCACAAACTGTTTATCAGGGACAGATGTTCTTCCTTAGCTGTGAATGAAATGAAGATTGGGTTACTCAGGAAACACCATGTCCACAAACCTTCAGCTACAGCACACTGCTCACCTGTGCTATCTGACAAAGCCCAGACTTAGGCTACCAAACACGATATAACCTTAAGAGGGTTCATCCTTAAAGTGTCACTCTTGCCCTCAGCTTGGTTTTTTCTCAGAACTGCTCTGAAGGCTGTTGGTATGAGAAGACACCATAGACAGCTAGCAGTAGTGTTTTCTTCTGGGAGGATCCTCTCACAATCGATGGAGTTTAGAAGAAAATGAAGTTCATTGCCATACCTGTCTCTCTTCCCTGTCTACACGAAGGACTCTAATGAGGAAAGGGAAAACAAAAACCTGTCTCTATAGCCTTTCTACTTTCATTCACACCCACATCACAGCACAGTCATTTAACCTTAATCAATGAATGCATGGCCAATTCCACTTTATTGGTTCAACGTTCTTCTAAGTCCATAAAATAATATTAAAAATGTCAGTTTTGAAATTCAATTGTTACCAGTTAGCAGTTAGAATATTTTTGATGTAATAAAACCATGATCACTCAGCTCTTTAGAGGTTTTATATAGTTAAACTAGCCACAAAGTATCAAAAATTATATTTCATAATTAGATAGACAGTCCCTCTTCTATGCCTTCTCCCAGTTCATAGAGGGTTTTGTCCAGCACAAAACAAGTTCAGTGTGGTGTAATTATATTTTTAGCTCCATTGGGAGAGTAATTTGGAGGAGGTGTAGCTGCCAAAACCCCAGTATTTCAGTTTTTGATGATATACTTGAAGATACAAATCAAAATCTGGTGCATGTATTTGAAGATGCTGTACATGTTCCATGTTTAAGCTTTCTCTATAGTTTAAGGTGTTTTGAGATGTGGGGAGAAGATTATACTAATGTATCTGTTTTTACCCCTATAGAACCCACAAGGATAGAGCTTACTCCTAAAAGAACAGAGTTAACTGTTGGAGAGAGCATTGTCCTCAACTGCAAAGCCATCCACGACTCCAGTTTGGATGTCACTTTCTATTGGACACTACAGGGACAACCTATTGACTTTGAGAAAGAAGGTGGACATTTTGAAAGCATCAGGGCTGTAAGTTTATATACTTTTGATTCTTGAGTAGTAATCTTATGCATCTTGACTCAAATGTAAAAATGTATAAAAATAGTTTTTTATACTATTTTATGTCATGTATAACTGAAAATATTATTTCAAACCCAGCAGGAACTTTGCAATTCATTAGTATGTGAGTCTGGTTTTTTTGCCTTTGCTAAATTAGTTTAGCCAAAGCATTAATGTTTCCATGTTGTTTCTAGAAGTCATATTGCTATTAAAGTGGCTACTCTACTATTTAAAGAATTGTTAGTTATAACTATATTATAATAGATGAATCTGCCCTGCTCCTTATAGAATAGTAAAAATTTTGAAGGGTCACCAGTTTCTCCTAAGCTGTGAAGGTTAAACCCACAACCCATAGTCATACATGTTCACTAGCTTCCAACAAACATTCATAGTATATTTCTTGTCTGTCCAATCTTTGTATTTTATCACTATTGAATATTATATATCTGAAAGTAATCAGCCAAATAAAGTGAGACATCATGTACACTGCATATCATAGACCACCTCAGCTTCTGAACCCCATAAAGAAGTGAGGAAGGCCACTGCTTCATGGACACATTGAAACATGAAAGAGCAACTTAGTGAAAGAGGAAGAAAGGCCATGGAACAAATAGTGAGGATGGTGATAGGGGCCGTAATTTTATTTCTATATTGACTGACAAGTTTAGCCAAACTACATTTCTCTCTAAAAACTTAATATAAAGTTATTACTAATATCAGGGTGCTTTTCCCTAAAAATTTTTTGAGAAATATTAGAAAGCTATAATAAATCCAAGCGGTGAAACTCACTTTGCATTAGACCTAGCTTAAACATTCTGTGATATCATAAAAGGAAAAGTCTTAGACCTGAAGATAGTAATTCTTTGGATGGAGTCTAACTCTATCCCTGGTCAACCACAGGTACTTCCTTGAGCCTTCTTACAACAGGAAGTAAGAATCTGGACCAGATAATTTTGGAGATCCTTCTTAACTTAGATTCTGATCAAATCCTTTCATTTAGAAACAGAAGAATGGACTGTGTTGCACTTGTCAATATGGCACAAGTTGAACACTTTCATCTAAGTTATCCCAGTTTACTTTGCAGCTAAGAGGGGAGAAGGCATGTCAGAAGCACATTCCAACTGAGTGATTAATAGTCTCATTGAGTGACCGGTTATGACTGGCTAAGTTGTGTATAGAATATCTAGATTATGTCAAATTCATTTTTTTACAACTTGCATGTGTTTTTCCTTCCTCTAATTTGACTTAATTATACATTCATAAGATTTTTATCAGATCATTAAAAAGAACCCAAACTATTACTTAGACAAAAATAAACTGATAAAAGTATATCTTATCAGGATTAGCTGTAAATATTCATTTTGAACAATAAGAAATACAAAGTAAAATGTATCTGAAATGATCAATGGCTCTCTATATAGAAGTTTGGCCTACATTTTAAAATAGCAATAGATAAATTGATGGACTCGGAAAAATTATAAGATAAAAGAATTTTTGTGTTGCCTCATAGGTGTGACCATTTTGGGCTGATATCATTTCTATAAATTAATATCTTTGATGTTTTCCACAAATGCCAGCTCTGCCCTCCTTGCATGTGTGCTGTCTTTGCCTTAAGAGATGCAAAACTGGCCCCTTGCTCCATGCCAGCCTTATGCATAGTTACAAGCCATATGACAATTAATCTTTGGAGTGAAAAAAATCTCTAGCTTTAAGGCAATGTAAGACTTGTGTTTTATATTTAAATGATTTCTAGAACTAGGTGTGTATTTTTGTAACATTGGAGCTGTGAAGTGTAAAAGGAATTGTGCATCACAAATCTCTCAAGTATTTCAAACCCTGGTTGGTGTCAAGGATATAGGCTGCTTGAGGTTCCCCTTCTGCCCCTGCTTCCCTTCCCTGCAGACTCATGTCCAGACAGTAATGGTGCTTTAGAGTGAGAAATAGGGCTGCTATCAGGAAGGGAGCTTTGAGAGGCCCTGTGAGCTGCTACAGACAGACCTCTTCCAGAGAGACTGAGGGAAGACCCTGGAAGACAGGCATGCAGGAAGAAGAGTATGGTTACTAAGGTCTGTTCTGAATGCCAAAGCCTAGGCATGGAGATGATCTGGAGATGGAATATTAAGGATCCTTAGGAAAGACAAGTGGGACCTGGGAGAGCACAGAGCAAGTCCCTGTCTGAAGCTCTGGATTCTACTACCTGCAGTAGGACTGCTGATGCTGCCAATGGGTGACTGAAGGCAAGGGCTGGGGGCAGTGAATTGGAAAAGAAGGGGAGAGTGTCTTAGTATATTACCTCTCAGTAGGATAAAATGAGTCAGCCAAACCTCAAGGATGAAGAGTAGGGAGATCTCAATGATAATGTTCAGCATCTCAACAGATACAGAAGTACATCATAACAGTGGTCTTAACTCTTCAACTAGTTTATTCATGAGTTCTATATTTTTATATTGCTTTGTAGGTATAACAAGCTAAATCCCTGTGTAGGGCTTTTGTAAAACATCTACATAAATTGTATGTTGTCATGGCTTACCTAGACAGTGGCTTTGGGACTTCATTTTAAAGGAATAAATAGAAAAAGATGGGATTTTTGCTTGCATTCTTTCCTGAGGCCTTGTTTTAAAAACCTGGCAAACTGGCTGGAGTGAGTCTATTACCAAAGCTATCTCTAGAAGGGGTCAAACAATCCATCCATAAATATTTCATCCAATTCTACCCAATCCCTTTTGGCTAATGATATAAATAAACTGAATGGGGCAAATTAGTAAATTTATTCTTTAAAAAAAGATTCAATGCTATAAGCTAAGTGATGTTGGGGACCTAGAGTTAAAATAGAACCCTTCAACCCTAGGAGAGAGAGCACAATCTAAGAATGGCGAGAGCAGCTCGGTTACAGCACAGTGACTTGAGCCTGCAGCTGCCAGAAAGAGTTGCTCTCTGAAAAGTTGTGGGTGGGCAGGATTTCACTAGGTGCCGACAGAAAACTGCATCATTTCAAAGAGTGAACAAGTCAAGCAGCAGCTGAAAGGCAGAATGGGTTATAGCATGTCTTAGGAGCAAAGAAGAATCAGTATTCTGCATAGCACAGTGAGGTCTCATAGTAGACAAGACATCAGCACTCAATGAGTAACTTTAAAAGGAAGTAGCAGAGGTAACATTGTATAAGACATCAATCACAGATAATAAAAGTATAGGGAAACAGGGTACAGACTTTGTTCTAGTCTTTTTTTTTTTTTTTTGAAATAAGGAGACTGAGGAGTCACACTTTTCCAGGCTACATAAGTGAATTTTAAATTGGGGGGTAACAAGTTTAAAAGTTGGTAGGCTTAAAAATCATAGTATATTGGCTCTGCTTAACCAATTTACCCTCACGGTATTCTTTGGCTGTCTAATGTGTTCTCAACCCTTGTCTAAAACTCATGAGAAATAAAAATAGAATCATTGATCCCAGTCTTTAGCAAGGATACAGATTGTGCAGGTCATTAAGTAACTCAAGAAAAATATGACCATAAAACAAACAAAGAAAAAAAATTGTGGCTAGGGGTGGGGGCACATGCATATAAACCTAGCATTCAGGAAGCCTGCCTCCACCTTTTAATGAGATGTTATTTGAAGAATTGAAAGAAAGTTAATTGCTACTTTTTGTAATAGCCAAATGTTGGTGGAAACCAGACAAGAAAGAGTAATATGATCTTTTATTCTTGTAGAGATAAACAAGAAATTTGACTAACTATTGTTCGCCAATCACTAAGATATACACACTAATTGATTCTCAAATATGATTATATTAATTCATGTTATTTGATGGAACATGTTGTCTATTCTACATAATGTAGACTATATAGGTCAGCATTAGGACAGGCAAAGTAGAGAGAAGGGAAATCAAGGCAGCAGAAAGGGTTTTGCATCTCAGTGCTGAGCAGGGTCTTAGTGTTGACCTGAGTGGTACCTGGCTCTTCCTTGGGTGTTAGTGTGTATTCTGACCCTTCAACAATAAGGAACTCACACACTTGCAAAGAGCCAATTCCCTGACCAGTCAGACTACACTGTCAGAAAACTGGAGAGGATTCACCTTTCTTTAGTCCTCTTTCATTTTTAAAAGCAGTTCTTTGAGAATTTCATACAGCGTGTTTTGATCATTTTAACTCCATCTCCTGATTCCTCCTAGATCCACCCTTTTCCCTACACATCCAACTATGTATCCTCTGCTGTTTTTTCTTTTTAATCCATTAACTCCAGTCTGTGACACCTATATATTCTCAAGTGTGTGGCCTTGCTCTGAAGCGCAGTCCACTCCCTCTCCCGTAGCTACATATTGCAATAGCTCCTTAGCTAGGGGTGGTTTGGGGACGAGTGATTTAATAACCCATTTTCCAAGTCTGAGAATCATAAGCATGCCTAATTTATATCCATGGGTTTTGCAGACTTGTAGGTGAGGAAAAAATAAGAATATAAAACCTTTAATGCCTAGAGGATTTTGCCTCAGATGAGAAGTTTTCACCACATCTCTTTCCCTGTTACAGATACCTGTGCTCTTAGTCTGTTCTTCAGGGAAAAAGTATCTTTACTGAGGAGTGGAAGTTAGAACAGAATGATTTCTTGATTGGACCATTCCATTTCTGAGAAGTATAACTGGAGTAAAAGTCAATGAGCTCCTCAGACATGCTGTTCAGGACAGCAGAGGATTAGGAGAGACGCCAGGCTTCTGCTGCAGCCTCTCCATCAAATCAGCATGCAGAAGTCTTGGAGAAGTGCATCACTAATCAGTACACTGATCAGCTGGAGTGGATCAGTTCAAGGCACACATTTTCTCTGGCTCATTCTGATTAGTAATATTCACAGTTAGAAGTTAATCTGGGCCCCTGGATGTTCTCCTCTCCTCCAACGGTGTGGTCCAGAACTCAGCCTTCCTATCAGTGTAGCATCTGCTCTTGGCTCTTTTTCTAGATCTGAATCCTAGAAACCTGGGAGGC